TCGTATGGTGGCTGACTAGGCCGAATACCCGAGTTCGTGGCCGACTAGGCCGAATACCTGAGTTCGTGGCCGACTAGACCGAATACCCGAGTCTGTGGATGACCAGGTCGAATACCCGAGCCCACCGACCACTCACAATCTGAACGGAACGTGCCGGTGTGCTCGGCCAAGTCACGGATTTACGCCAGGATAATTATGAAGAGGTTAATTTATGTAATGCACCGGATTAGCCCCCTAATTTCCCGGGGCCCAGTCCTTAATCAGGCCCAATAAGAATCACTATAAATAGGACCCAGCGAGGTACGTAACTAACTTTCAACTACTGCATTTATTACGCCGAGCACTTACTTGAGCGTTGAAGTGTCTTTACAGGCACACCCTCCCTCACATCGGACTACCCAGATAGGAAAGAGAAGACCGAGACCCGGGATCAGACCCGCTACAACAAGGATAAGTGAAGTGTGTATCCTAACACAGGAACAATATAGTATTATAATAGCTCCTTCTAAAATAAAGTATTAATATAATTATACGATGATACATAAAAATAAAATTGTGTCGGTTGGTCTATGAATACATAATGCGATTGCTCACTCTATCACATTATTGCGTGCCAGCTTGCCAGATTCAGATTCTGAACTTGCCTTGGTAGCTCCTATTTCCTCCAAACCGATACATAAAAATTCTAAACCCTTAAATATTTTTCGTTATTTAAATATATTAATTTTTACTTTTAAGTTAATTTTTTCTCAATTTTTGTTATAAAAATACTTACATAATTTTATCTGGTATTGCCACATAAGCATATGTAACACGAAATTACCACTTAGCAATATCCGATGTAGCATCAAGCATGTCAAGACTTTTATAATGAAAGAACTAAAAATTAAGAAGTTTAAATATGAAAAAATCACAAAAACATTAAAATAATTAAAATTAAAAAAAATCTAAGACTCAAAAAATTTAAATCAATTTTATATATAAAAAATAAGTCTAAATACATTTTTTTTGTAAATATATTCATTTTCGTTTTTAATAAAGCCATGAAAGCATTTTTTTTTTGTGATAAAAAAAAAAACTTACCAAAATATTTGAATAGTACAAGAATCAGAAATGAAAAACACTTACACTATCTATGGTTATGAGGAGAAAAATATATGAGAAATAGGATTAAAAAAGAAAGAGAGAAAAATTAGTGAGTATAAATAAATAAATAAAAAGATAAAAATGAATTTATTTTATTTGAGATAAATAGATACAAAATTTTTTTTAAAATTAAAATAATATTATAAAACTGTTTAGTTTGAATGAACGAAAAAGAAAAAATTATAATTAAAAAATTACAATTTTACCCTTTCATATTACATATTACAAGTTTATTTTATTTTATCAATTAAATTCATTTTTCACTCAAATAAATCAAACATATATTATTTGGTTGTATTAAAATCCAAAGATATGACCATTTGAATTAATAAATTATTTAAATCCATGCATTCTATCACAACATCCAAATATTTGGATACAAAATCCGCCAATCGAATAGAGATCACACTCATTTAAATACAAAATCCACCATTCAAATACAATTTTAAAGTGCTTGCAAACACACTAAAAAAACAAAAAACATCAATCTTATTTGAATAAATGAAAACTCCATTTAAATAAAACATCAATCATATTCGAATAAATGGAGCCATGTTCTAATAATACATCAAAGAAATGCAATCCATTTAAATAAAACACAAAGAAATGAAAGTTTATTCGAATAAGAAAATTTAATATTGTATTTGAATAAAAAAAATTAATAATGCAGCCCCATTCTAATAAAAGTGTATAAGAATATTAAAACAATTTGATGAAAATAAAGAAATGCAACTCATTGTAAAGTTAAATAAATAACCCCATTCAAATAGAAAAATTGTAGTTGAATAAAAGACTAGTGTAAGTCATGTTATTTAAGGTTTTAACGAGATAAAAGTATAAGAAGAAAGAGTTTATTTCTTTCTTTGTTATTTTTACTTAATTTTAAGAAATTTATAAACATAAGACTCATATTTATAATTTTTTTCACACTTGTAAACTTTTTGTTTGATCAAACTCCTATCAAACAAACGAGGAAAAATATCTTAGTTAAAATATTTTGTCTTTTTCCATACTATTTTATGACTGTTTCGATAAAACAAGTCCAATTTTATAAAAAAAATAAAAAGCAAAAATAATATATTTTCAGGAAAGAACGCGTTTAAACTTAAAATTATAAAAACAAGGATTAGCTACGAAAAATAAAATAAAATAAAAATGAATATTGGGGTATTTATGCATGTTTGAATTTTGAAGGAAGGATGTTACCTTGCCACTTGCGAACTTAGTTTCAGCATTTATTGTATCAGACACTCTCCCATTGGCTCAATGTGTCGGTGCATCCTGCGTGGCGATAATGGACACTACTTTACACACTGTAATAGCATCTAGCGAGTACCATTCTGTTTTTCTAAAATATTCATATTTTAACATTTTTTAAATATAAGAAATATTAAAAAGAGATTGAAAACATTTTTAACATACTATTTATTTTCTTAATTCTTCATATATATATATATATATATATATATTATTTTAATAATTTAAATATGTTTTCAATCTCTTAAATATAAAATATTTTTTCATCTTTTAATTTTAGAATTAAGTTTTTAGTTATTTAATTTGAAAAATAAATATTTCAGTTTCTATATCCATGTATTTATAGTAAATCCATAAGATAAAATTGAAATATTATTAAATTTATCACATAAGATTTATTTATTAATATTTTTAAATAAAAATATTATATTAAATTCAATCGATGTTGAACAATTGATTCAATTTATTTTTATAAGTAACGTTGCAAGTTGTTGAGGATTAAAACAAGTTATTTTTTAATTTACAATAATTAAAAATAAATAAAATTAAATTTGAGAAAAAACTTAACCTAATTTTAATTTAAGAGAATAAAAAATATATTTAAGTTTTTTTTTAATAAGTATTGTTTATTTCCCCCTTTCACTCTTGCTAGATTTTCTGCTCCTTTGATTATAATGAAGAGCAATATTCCTTGGTGACCTTAAATATACCGTGTACTTAGAATTTTTATTGTGATTATTATTTTCATGGATAAGTGAAAATTAAAAGGGGAACTATGCTACTAAAAGAAAATACTAAAAATTTAATTTTTGAAATAATTGAAGCAGGGTTTCAAAAATAATATCTGTTTTTTTTTTTTTTTATACATAAAACAATATGCTATAAAAATGAAAATTTTATCTATATACAATTTGAAGAGAGAGAGAGTGATATTCTAATTGGTCTATATTTTTTTTCTTAATCATCTCATATCGCTTTCCTTTTATCTATATATATATATATGCATACTTGATCTTTTTAGTTACTTTTTTCTTTTAATTTATCATTTTTATATCTAAAAGTTTTAATTGTTTTTTTATTGAATTTGTCAATAATTAATAATAAACTTCTATTATATTTGAATTTTAAATTATTTATTATAAATTAGAAATATAATTCTCTATATTCAAAGATATCTATTTATTATAAATTTTAATTATAATATAATTTATATATCAAAATATTTATTTATAATAAATGAATTTATAATGTGCTGATATTTTTGGAAAAGTTAAGTCCAAGTTATGGAGTTTTTGTTCATGGTGGTGGAATTTGTCTTGTACGCATATAGCAGCTGCAACAGATGCAGGTATGCCTTTCTTGAGGCCCTAACTTTCTTTGTTCGCATGCATTATAAAAGAAATAAAATTTATAATAAATAAATATATTTAAATATATAAATTGGTTTCGCAATAGTGATATTAGTTAAATTTATTTGCTCTTGTTTGTTAAGACTAGAATTAAACATATTATTATTGATGCAAATAAACTAAAAATAATTTTATTAAAAAGTATTTTTTAAAAGAACACTGCTATAACCTTCGAAAATGGAGGCGAATCATGTTTTGAATAATATTTTATTAATATTTTTAAATAAATTTATTATAAAATAATTATTTAATTTAATATTTTATAATTTAAATTAATATTTTAATTTTTAGAATGCTTTTCGGAGGTTATTTTCGGAGGATCTATCATTTTTGTTTTTAAAAACACTTTCATTTGAGATAAGATAAGTATTAATATAAATATGCGAATTAGTAAAAATAAAAATAAAAAAGTCTTTCACACCATTTAGTTATGTTCTACGGAATACCGAATAAGATGACGTCGAATCTTCAATAATGACAACTTGAAGTAGAAAACGGTTTACTATGTACTCATTTATGAAATATTTTTTTATATAAAATAATTTACAATTAAATAATATTATTATTTTGGAGCTAATATTTGATTTGTATAATATATATATATATATATATACTCGGAAAGTCATGGATTT